TGCTTTACAACTGTGGCAAAAAAGGTTATTAAATCAGGTATTACTCACTTAAGAGCCATCTTGTTAGCAATGGAAATTCTGATCCTAATTGTGGATTTCAGGACTATCTGTATAGGTCAGGGGTAGGCAACCTTGGCTCTTTTATGACTCATGGACTTCAACTCCCAGAATTCCTGAGCCAGCCATGCTGAGGGGAAGGGAAAGTTTCCAAGCTGAGCCATGCTGGCTCAGGAATTCTGGGAGTTGAAGTCCACGAATCATAAAAGAGCCAAGGTTGCCTACCCCTGGTGTAAGTGTTATGTGCTATACCTAACAAAACAAAAACAGAAACAGAAAAAGGAGAAAACTGCAAAGGATGGATAATTACAGGTATATTAAAACTACCCAATTCTTTTAGAAATACTGACTCTTACCTTTTGGGAAAAAATAAAGAACTGGCTTCAAAAGAACTCAGTTCCCGCTCTTTTTCCCCAGAAGAATTGGGTACTATTTGCAAGCTATCTGGCACTCAACAAGTGGAGATGAAAAGTGCCATATTACCCCAAAATCAGTATGGAGATTTTCAAGCAGTGCTCCTTCACTGATTTTGTTCTGGAACAATCATGACAAAAATTGCAGCAATAGCATCTCTTCTTGAGGAACAGCTGCACCATATTTCAGAGGGACTGAATAAAAGCTTGTGCAAAAGAAAGTGAAACTACACAAGGAAGATTCCCCGTTGATGGATCTGAGTTGTTGGGACTGGTCCGAAATAGAATGGGACAATAGAATAAACCTCACAGTTAACGGAACTCTTATCCAAAGTGAAAATTAAGAGGGTGGGATGGGATGAATTTTTTTATGGGAAGTTATAAGAAATACCAGCTCTGGAGGTTAGCCGCTAGAAAGTTCAAGAAGGACACCTGAGAAGAAGGCATTATTGCATTATGGTTATTTTCTTACTAATATGGATACTTCTGTGCAGTCTTAAGAAGATGAACTCAACTCAGAATTTACTTGCTTCCCTTGAGTGGACAGCAGAATTTTAGGCAAAGATAGTTGGGGTGGGCAGAAAAATGCTTTCATAGATAATAGATTGCAGGCACTATTCTATTCATGGTCTCTTTATTATAAGAATCAAAATCAAAAGCGTTAACCCTTGGCATTTCTCTACGGACTCAGGAGTCTAACATATGGACAACCCTTCTCCACCATGGACTGAAGGTCAAATGTACAAGGTTGATCTTTTTGAAAGGCAGCATACATAAACAACAAAAAAATATCTTTTAGAAGCAAACAAAAAGTTTTGGAAAACAAGAATACAACAGTTCCCATTCAATCTGGCGGATCCGAAAGTTGTTCAGCCTTTCAAAAGGCTACGTAATAACTTCTTGAGATCTTTCATTAGTGCAAGGAAGCAGAGAGACTGTGATGTTCAAAACGACTCAAAAGCAAGGCCGTCAGTCTAGCACATAAAGGAACACTCCATGCAGATTCCTGTTAAATGTCTCTATGCATTTATTTTACATTCATGTGGGAACCAAGGAATCCATGAAACATTTATCCACAGTAATATTCTTCCCCGGAATATTTATTTATTTAAATTAATTGGTTGCCCAATTCCAACCCTTCAGCATTCACAACAGAGCACCAAGCCGCAGAAGCTGAATTAACAGGGCGATTGATGTAGCGCTGATGTAAGCACCATTTCTAAAAATGGGGCAAGAAAGCAAGCTGATGACAGCCAGTTTAACAAGAAAGATGATAGAAAGCAGAAATAAGCAAACACATAGAACCTCCCTCCCTCAATTTACTTAAAGTAAGTCAGGTATCAACAGGGGTGCAGACAAGGGTCACTCAACAGATATTCTAAACTTGGATCCGCAGAACACCTTTCACAAAGTGTGAAAGGCATAGAATCAAGATCACGCGAAGTATTAGTACTTCTTTATAAAACCCTAGTAAGACCACACCTAGAATACTGCAACCAATTTTGGTCACCATACTACAAAAAAGATGTTGAGACTTTGGAAAAAGTGCAGAGAAGAGAAACTAAAACATATGAAGAACGGCTGCAGAACTTGGGTTTGGCTAGTCTGAAGAAAAGAAAAAATAGGGGTGATGTGATAGCAGTATCCCAGTATTTGAGGGGCTGCCACAAAGAAGAGGAGGTCAGATTATTCTCCAAAGCACCAGAGGGCAGGACAAGAAACGATGGTTGGAAACATATCAGAGAGAGAAGCAAGCTGGAATTAAGGAGAAACTTCCTAACAGTGAGGACAATTAACCAGTGGAACAGTTTTGCCTCCGGAAATCGTGGGTGCTTCATCACTGGAAATTTTTAAGAAGAGACTGGACAGCCACTTGTCTGAAATGGTATAGGACAGGTTCTCCTGCTTGAGCAGGGAACTGGACTGGAAGACCTCCAAGGTCCCATTCTGTTCTAGTCTAGTCTAGTCTAGTCTCTCAGCCATAATGGAATAAAAAGAGAAGAGTTCCCTTGAATTAAAGAGTTTGGTGTAGTGGTTAAGGCAACAGGCTAGAAATTGGAAGACCGTGAGTTCTACACTCAACTCACTTTAGGCATGAAGCCAGCTGGGTCAGTCCTTCTCATTCAGCCCCAGGAAGAAGAAGACAAGGGCAAACCACTTCCAAAATCTTGCCAAGAATACTGCAGGGACTTGTCCAGGAAATTGCTAAGAATCAACACTGACTCAAAAGCATGCAGTTCTCTTTGATTGGCAACTGCAGATAAAGCAGGAAATAAAAGGAATAAATGGACAACTGTCATCCTGATAAGAAGTGGATCCTTGGGATTAGCCCAGGAGAAGGCAACAAGGTGCTTGTTGCAAGTGGGTGTGGTGTCAGACCTCTTTAAATGAAAGGTGCATTTTTCTGGGCTCCCACTGCAACTTACCAACCAGTACAGTATGCAGTGCATACTCGCAATCCACTTTTCAAAGTCAAGCACCACACCTCCCTAATAGAGAAAAATGGTGTTTTTTTTTTTAAAAAAATTCTTGTCTCATGATTTAGAACTTGGGGTCCTCCCTTGAAACTGCAGGAAGATCGAGGAGTGACGGAAATACTTTTTCAACCACAGCATAAATTAAACTGTCACATTGGCTTCCAGGAATTGTAAGAGTTTGGAGGATCAGATTAATGCATGATAACTAAGGGCTGTTTTCTATCTCTGGAAATACTTTAAATACAGACTGTTGAGAAGCAATGATGATGAAAAGACGCTACTTGGTTCCAATCCAGGCCGGTAGAGATTGGTTACAGAGTGAGCCAGCAAAGAACTTCTTCAGATTTTGTAAATTTCCAAGACATCCCAAAGACGTCATCCGATCGGGATTCCCATGATAAAATGGGATGGCAAGATTATCTCAGTTAAAAGATGGGATGGAAGTAACATAGAAGGGCTGGCTGGGAATTTTGAGAATTGAAGCCCACACATCTTACAGTTGCCAAGGTTGAGAAACACAGCTCTAAGGCACTGTGCAAGTTCAGCAATTGTGATAGAAAATATGTGCGTTAAGAGAAGGGTCTAGTTATACTGTACATACAATTATCATACCAATTATATCTGTACATACCAATTATTGTACATACAATTATATTATCAGTTGAAGTGTTGTTTTTGTTTCCTAATCACAAGCCCTTACATAGGAGACAAAACACAAAAACCTCACCCATAAATAAGGTTTATTATGACAACCCTCCAGGCCCTACTTCACCAGTCGTAGAGTATATCTGCACAACACAAATAGAATTCTACCCATTTTCTGGATCTATACAACCCACCAAAGCATCACCTATTTATACAGATGGGAGTTCACATTGGGCAAAGCTAGGTTAACTAGCTTGTGGTTTTGTGAGCTGTACATACACAACCAGCATCAGCTTTGTGGCTGGATGAAGTGGGACTTGCTATTCAAGAAGATGGGTGGCATATAAATTTAATACGTAAATAAAGTCAGATGGATGTTTCTGAAATTGGGAGATAGTCTCGTATTTAGCCAAACAAGAACACTGAGATCCAGTTTATATTGTTGCAAAACCACACCATGTGCCAGTCCTTAATTTCAATAAACCCACAATTGGCAATACATTAAGCTGTTAAACAGGGTTTGCAGACCATAATGACAGAATTCACAAAAAGCAATAAGCCCCAAACCAAAGAGATCCAATGAAAACTTCACCTGTTAGGGTATTCCAACCTTGTTACCCGCCTCTAACCCAGATTAGTTGTACACCAACCACGCTGGTGAAAGATTAGGGGAGCTGAAATTCAGCCCCCCCCCATGGGCAGGAGTGTCAAGGGGGCCGGTGTATCAAGCCACAGCGCAAAGCCAACCCTTTCTTTGCAAGAAGAAGAGAAGAAGAAGAAGAAGAGAGAGAAGAAGAAGAAGAAGAAGAAGGAGGAGGAGGAGGAGGAGGAGGAGGAGGAGGAGGAGGAGGAGGAGGAAGAAGAGAAGAAGAAGAAGAAGAAGAAGAAGAAGAAGAAGAAGAAGAAGAAGAAGAAGAAGAAGAAGAAGAAGAAGAAGAAGAAGAAGAAGATCGAGTTGGGAAGACCAGCGACAGGAGTGACTACTGAATGCTCAGGTTACAGAACAGAAAAGCCACAGGTAGAAACTCCCACAGATTCTGGCTTGAGAAACACACACACACACACACACACACACACACACAATCACCCCCCCCACACACACACACTCTCAAAAATACCCCCATCCCGCAGCTCATCGACAAAAGCCCAGGTGAGAATCACCAACAAATGTCCCCCCCCTTTTTTCACCCATGAGAATTCACCATCCCCCTCCTGCTGCTTTCGCCCGAGGAAATCGGAGATGGGATCGAAATGGGGCCATAGGATTCAGCGCAGCCGCCCCACCACCACCATCACCATAGGGCGCCCGCGCGCGCGCAGAAAGCAGCCTTCAACCCGCGGGAGGGGGGGGCTGGTCTCGCTGGAGGGGGGGGCTTAGGGGCAACCCCCGAGCCGCGCCGCAGCCTACCTTTCTCGGCTCCCCTGTTGCGCTTCTGCTCATCCACAAGGCTTTTTTTTTTTTTTCGCCCCCCGCGGGAGGCGGTGGGTGCGCCAAACCGGAGGAAGGCTACCAAACCCCGCCGCTTCTGGGCCGGGAAGTGCGGCTGGTGCGCCTCGGCGAAGCCCTTCGCTTCCCGCAGGTCATCGGAGCCAAGCGGAAAAAGCCGCTACCGCCGCGCAGGGTAAGCGAAGTGCAGCTTCGCCTTCCAAAGTGCCCGCCTCTGCCTCGGCCCCGGCTGTGGCTCTGGCGCTTTCGGTGGCGCCGGTCTCCCTCTAGCGACCCACCTGGGCTTTGCTCGATCAGAAAAGGCTGCCGGCCACCCGGTTCCCACGTGCCTCTGACCCCAGTCGGGTGGATTCCCCTGCACGACGCTGGCGGGTTCGAGTCCCTGTACCGAGCCGCTAAAGCGGGTGTTTCGTTTGGCGAAAGGGGTGGCTTTGATCCCAGGCTTCGTGGGGTTTTTTTTAAGACCGTGTGCATTATGTGTTGGCGCTTTGTGGGTGAACCGAGTTGTGGTGGGTTTTCAACCAGCTGGGATCATGGCTTAGCCAGATTGGGCGATTTCAGTCGATGTAAGCCAAAACTGTGAACTGACCTGTAACTTAAGTCGGTGTCCATGCAGGGGTTCTCAACCTTGGCAACTTTAAGACTTGCGGACTTCAACTCCCAGAATTCCTTTGCTGGCTGAGGAATTCTGGGAGTTGAAGTCCGCAAGTCTTAAAGTTGCCAAGGTTGAGAACACCTGACACATGGGAGTAAAATTCCTTCATTTCCATTCAGCTTTCTTCTGAAACTGGGCTTCTAATTTCATCACGTCCTTGCTTGTTTAATCATAGTTGCCTTGTGTACTGGGCCATCAATCATTCACAAACCATAGTTTGTGCCCATAGCTATAGTTTCAAAGCTAGCCAGGTCCTCTTCCTGCCTTCCTGCTAAATAAAGGCTTTGACCAACATCTAAGTTAAAAATCAAGCAAGCTGCTTTATAGCAATGGTATCATATATTTAGTAAATCCAGTTATTGTAGTTTATGCTCCAAGAGGTATAAATTCAACCTGTGTTTTTTTAAAACCAAGATGTGTATATTTGAGTGTGTTGTGTATGTGAAGCTGTGGAAGCTTTATATATAAAGTCAACACTATCCTTTTGTTATCCCCAAATTTGGGGAGCAATACACACACACACACACACACACACACACCCCTTAGCTCCAGAAACTGGATTATTTTCCTTTTTGTGGTAAGTTTAAGGAACAATATGATCATCTGTGATGCTACCATTATCCTCTCCACAGGATCAAAAAATATTAGCTTCCCCCATTTTGGTGATACCATATTTTTGGCTCCAATTGCCATCAAAGTCCAAATAAAAATGCAGAGTTTGGTCACAAGAAAATTGCCCCTCCCATCTTCAGGAGTATGAATGTTTCACTTTGGATCATTTGAACCCATGCATAGGAGATCAAAAATAAAACATAGGTGATTCTCCTAAATTCAGCATGAGAAAAGCAGGCAGCAATATGCACAGAGAAAGTTTTTAAAAAGCCAAAACAGTAAAATATGCAAAAAGAGACAGGTCTTGGATTACACAGCTGCAGCTGACATCTTGACTTTTTTCTTCTTATTACACCGTTTTAATTTATTAATATAAAACAAAAGTTGTACATTGCATTATCTGGATACAGTTATATTTATACAGTGATATGTATACAGTGTTGACTGGAGGTTATTAATAGTACTCTGATGTTTAAATAATTTAAACCGTTAAAAAAAGTTTGCCAGTATTAACTATGATTTCTATTATTTAATGTTGATAAACTTAAGGTGGCTTCAATTTTACATCTAAAGCAGAATGTGGCATTGATAAACAAATGCAGAATACATTAAATTATTTGTATATAGTAAAGGTTCCAATGTTTGAAACAAGCTTGGAGAACACACTGCAGAGAAAATCTAAAAACCGAGCTACAAGTATTTTCTATTATTTCACAGTTCCAATGTCTCTACTGCATTGTTACTGATTGTTGTTTATGCATGTTAAGAAAAAAATAATAGTAATAACAGAGAAAGTTTAAAAGGCCATTTGGTTTCTTAACATCTCCTCCTGTTCCCTTCTTAGTTTATTCTCTTCGTCATTGTTTTTGTCTTGTGATGGTTTCGTTTTTTGCATTGTTATCTGTGTTTTAAACATTTTAACAATTATAAACTACCCAGAATCACTGGAAGTCAGGCGGCATATAAATTGAATAAATCATTACTATTATTATTAAGATCTGCCGCAACAACATGAAGTCACGGCTGCCAGTTCTTTAGCTGGTATTGACCTTCATTTGCATTGAGTTCTTTCTAGCCTGTCATAATGTATTAGCATAATGTATGTGTGGATCCAAGCAGGGTGGCCTTTTGTGATTGACGGATGGAAATTTTGTCAGTCAATGCGCAGATTTTTCTAATTGCAGTCCAAGATTTTTTGGTTGTTAGTATGGTTCATCGCACAGTCAGCCAGGTGTTTAGACTAGATGTGGCATTTGTGTCTGCCTATCGAGTCCTTCCCAAAGACTTGGGATAGGCGGATGCAGATGTTTAATGGTGTTAAAAGTATCATCACCGGATATAAGCCATTCTAAGTAAAACTGCCTTTTGTAATTGACTGATGGTGAATTAGTCAATGTCAATGATATTATTTAGTTATTTATTTCTTGGGACTCTAGCAGTTTGCAGTGTTTATAACATTTAGGCCCCTTTGCAAACCAAACTATGTTTACATGGCAAGTATAAACCATATTGACTTTTTTGTTTTAAATCTCCCCTAGGGATACTCATGACAGAAAACTGCCTTCAGTTGAGTTAAATATTACAACTGGCTCTGGTTTAGAGCTAGTAATATTTTGCCCTCAACTATTTTAAACATATACAGTGTATGATCTCTTGGCCACCAATGGCTCATAAAAGTTTTGAAGGTACTGAAGAATTTTTAATCCTTACCAAAGTGTAACTATTAATGAGATAAATGGGGAAAAACCCATGTATTTCAGTACAATAACTATAGTAACTGCATTGACTTTAGTTTGATTCTCATTCATCTGAAATTCAGTAGCACCAAATTCAGCTTTTGTCCTGGCTTTGTCCTTCTCTTATATAACCATGCCCACTTTGGGAGCATGTGACATCCTTCATATACTGATTGGCTTAGGGCAGAGGTCCCCAACCCCTGATCCCTGATCCAGTGCTGGACCGCAGCCCATTCAGAACCAGGCCGCAAAGTGGTGGGCAAGTGCATGTGTGTGTATGCACACGGGTGACACTCCATTTGTGAACGCGATGTGTGGGAAAACATCCCGTTCCCCACCGCCTCCACCAGTCCGCTGACCCTAAAAGTTTGGAGACCACTGGCTTAGGGTAGGGGTCCCCAATCCCTGGTCCGTGGACAAGTACTGGTCCATGGCGTGCCAGCAACCAGTCCGCAGAAACAAGCAAAACCCCATCTGCAGGATGCAGGCAGTACATGAAGCCTCCAGTCTATGGAAAAACCTCTCTCCACGGAACCGGTCCCTGGTGCCCAAAAGATTGGGGACCTCTGGCTTAGGGTACCCTGGCAGAAAACAGTTGCGTCCCCTCTCATCTAATGCAGGGTTGTCTATGGAGAATTAAAAAATGAAGCTGAGACACACTGTGTTACAAAGAGTATTTCTCAGAACGAAAGCAACTTTTCTCTGCAACATTTCTAAAAGATTATTATTGTGGAGCATTAAGGAAAAGATGTTTTTGAAATATGAACTTTTTATTTTTGACTGTCTCCAGGAAGAGTCTCTTGGACATGATCCAGTCTTTCCACTCCCTTCTTACCCCCATGAAATGTACACAAAGTTCCGGCATTATATATATATCTAAAAACTGGTTTATTTATTTTTTTTAAAAAATCCAGAACAAGATATTACTCAACAACAACAAAAATATAACATAACACAGTGTCTTCTTGAACGCAAATACTATTTTTGACTTCAAACTCACAAAATGTTCTCAATAGTCTCCAACTCCCTCAGTGATCCAATCCTGCCAGGAAAGCATATTTTATGATTTCACATAACTTGGGTTGTACTCTGTCCATTTTTCTGCTGTGTTAAAATAAACCAACTGTTTGGTCTGCTGTCTTCTTCAACTTTTAAAATGTAGTGCTTGGTGAAACATCATCTCGTGGGGCTCAATACATTGCATCGTTTGAATTTCCCACAATGCCGTAGTAAAAAAACTGCCATGGGGCATTATGGGAAGCGTTCTCATGCTACCAGCAGAAATTGAAGGTGGATATTGAAACCAAATCTAGAAGGTTTATAAAAGGGCTTGATCAAGGAGAGAAGCAACCTAGAACTAAGGAGAAACTTCCTGACAGAACATTTAACCAGTGGAACAACCTGCCTCCAGGAGCAGTGAATGCCCCAACACTGGAAATTTTTAAGAAGAGACTGGACAGCAATTTGTCCGAAATGTTATAGGGCAGTGGTGGCGAACCTATGGCATGTGTGCCAGAGGCGGCACTCAGAATCCTCTCTGTGGGCACGTGCATCATGCCCGGGAGATGACAACCATCTCTCTTCAACCAGCCTCCTGCTAACTCGCCGAGGTCTCACGTGGCCAGATGCATCCCGGCATGGCTGGTTTCCCTCCCTCCTGTACCATCCTTCTTGATCTTACATGGTCTCCTTTTCCTGGGCACAACCCACTGCATCGCATCCTCAGCCGTTGGCCAGCCATCCAGCTCAGAGGTGGCTTTTTTGAACTGCTAGCAGAAGGTTGTGTAGCCCTAGAGTGTGCTGACTGAGGGGCCGGCAAGCTGTGGCTGCTGACGGACACTGTCGGCCCCCATGTGCTCGCTGGCCTCTGTTTGCGGGGTCCGATGGTGTCTGGCAGCAACCACCCCAGCCCTTGCCTTGCCCCATGGCAATGGCACCCTGCCTCACCTCACCCCATAGGACAAAGCCTCCTGCCTACCGCCCCACGTGCCAGAGACCCTCTGGATCTCCCCCAACCCTGCCCATCCCCCACAGGCATCCCTCCCCATGAGCAACATTGAGGTGACCATGCCCACCTTGGCCACACCCACCCAATCTGCCATGACCACCACAGCCACACCCACCCAGTGGGCCACACTCACCTGGCACCTGGCAATAAATAAGAGGGTTTTGGGTTGCAGTTTGGGCACT